TAGTTCCCTTGGTGTTATCTAAGGGGAACTTTGCCGTGTCACGAACTGCCACCATCTCAATTCTATCTATCTCATTCGGAATTTGCGAGCAACACGAGACAAAATTCGAGAATGTTGCACCTGCATTCGTGCGGTGACGAAAAAAAAAAATGACCAGACCCGGGCTCGATCCGAGGACCTTGTCGGTGTTAACGACACGTGATAACCAACTACACCATCCGGCCAATTGTACTTTTGTAGCCAGTAAAATCATTCAAGAGATAGCCGATACTTATTTCGAAAAAACCCGCTTCCATTTACGGTATACTTGGACAATCGAAATACAATGGCTATTTAGCAAATTCCTGATTTTTCTGTTTTCTAAGGGACTGCAGCTATTAGTCATCTATCTGCCTTCTCATTGGTCAACGCTCATTTGCGTTATGAGTGAAGCAAAAGGACGTCTCTTTCCCTGACTTTCTCGTCCCTACCTTTCGTTTAACATCGTTTCAGCACCACAGCATGCGCAGCGCGTCACTAGTACCTTCACACCTTGCAAGATGAAAGTTGGATTCTAGTTCACGTGATATATATAGCCTGTAGAGATGGCTGCACTCCACTAGGTAGTGGTATGGTGAGCTACTGCTGGTACAAATAGCTGGTTCCTCCGTAGCTTCAATCATCATCACATTTGCCTAGACTCTGCTATGCAATTGACACCCAAGAGCGGCCAAGATCCTAGCATCTACAATGCCTCGAGTCCCTCCTATGTACGAACTTGATTGTGATATGGCTTGAGCGACAAACAGACTTCCTGAAAGCAAATCAAAGCTATATCAGTGAAACTTAATATGTTTCAACTGCTAAGCATTCCTACCAGGAGGTTTCAGATGCATCGACATGACGGAAGAGACCAAAAATTGATTCGTGGCCCGCAATATCTCCACCCTGAGAGTAATATGAGTATTCGTAGGGTTGGACTTTGGTCTAAAGCTAACTATTTGGAACATCAACTCGGGTGTTAGCGAGTTCAGGCTGGGCGTCTCACCTGTATCCATCAAATTAGACAATGATTGGCGCATCATCATCCGTGTTCGAAACGCGCGCTAAAGTGATCATTGAAATAATTTCTTGATTGGACCCCCTAAAATAGAAAACACACCAGCGGGCACTTAGATTTATCCTAGCTTATTCACACGCTAATTACTACCTATCTCCAATTGACTGACCAATTAACTTACCAATACATTGCGCTTTCGAGCTGGCGGTAAGCTAAGGGACTACAAACTGCTTTACCTTAGTGATGTTTCAGGAAGCAGAGCGGCTACTAGCGGTTCGACGGGAATAGTGCAATAACGGCAGGTCTATAAACATGAGTCGGGCAGCCCAACTTCATTCTTAATAACATCACTTTCTTTTCCACCTGCGCAACCAAATCCAATATTTTTCCCTTCCTACATCGGAATGCCTCGCACCATTCATCTAGCCATATTTTCGAATGGCGCGCGGCCCGCCCATTACGCTATCTTTGTTCCCACGGGTGATGCTGGTAAAGTGGGAAAACTGATTCATGTCACCGGGACTACTGCCTGGATTCTTCCGGGAGTTCAAGCGCAACTACGATTTCAGTGCCACCCAACGAAAGCACCATATTATACCACTTGCACAAGTCGATGAGCGATTCATCACTGATACCGTGGGCAACGGACAACCGTCAGTCGATACGACTGCTCGCGATCGCTTGGAGTCGACCGCCATTGCAATTCAACCTCCCGGTCGCAGTCCCAACCCTTTCGACCCGTCGGTATGTTCACCTACATTGACACAAGCATCATCCCTAAACTTTTGTTCTGATAGGGCGCCTAATTGCCAAGACTGGCTGCGAAACTACGTCAACAAGCTTGTGGAGGATGGTTTCATTGCTGGCAGTGCCATCTCTGTTGTCCAGAATGCACCAAACCTATTGTGATTCGAGGAACCATGGTTTTTCTCACTTCATTGACGGGTTATGCATTTATTTTGGATTCATGTCATTACTTTGTTGTCTCTGAGCTCATCGATTGCAATCTATCCTATAAATTACGCACAGTTCTTTACAGAAGAGCCACAGATGAATAAAGCCTTAGCGTGAATCCCTATTTTGTAAGATAGTAAAACCTCGAAGATGCCGGGTGGCGGATATCTTAACATCCCATAGCCGTTGTGTAGTAGTCCCAAGGGTCCCAGGTACTCATGAATTGGCACAAAATCATCGGCAAATATACTTTAGACCAATCTTCATTCCTGTCGGCAGTAAACTGCGCTTTCCTGGCCTCCCAATATGCAGGAAGCCAGCCTGACTGTTCCCAATCGATGATGGCAACAATATGGTAGGGTCGGGATTGTGTAATCAAGATGTTGCTGCGGTGGAGATCCCCATGCGTAAATTTAATGGGGCAATCGTCCGGTAAATCGTGACGAAACGGTTCGATTGGTACAGAATATGGGTTAGGCATGGGTCTTCGGTGGAGGAAAGTGAACCAGTCATGAAACTCCTGGACGCTATTGAACGGCCCAGCTTCAGACATGGATTCGACGTGAATTGCTCTATCGTATAAAGAAGATCGTACAATATTACCTGAATAGGGGTAAGTATTTAGACAAGGAGACAAAATTCGTGGACTCTTGGAAGGTCCTTACCTATAAATCGGTCCTCTGGCCCTTGCTCCAGTTGGCGAAGATTATCAAAGATTGTCCGAAGCTCAGAGCAGACAGAAACCCTTTCAGCGGGTTCCATCACATCCCACGCCTGCTCTAGAGTCTGTGCATGCAAATATTCCATATAGATAAACACCTCGTTACCGTCCTCTCGCCATCCGTATATCTCCGGGACCGGGACATGGTCTTTGAGACGTTGGCCGATAGCCCAGAGGCACTGGCCTTCTGAAATACTCATTGCAGTTCCCCATTTGACGAACAATCCTAGGTCCTTGAACACCACAGGTGGAGGTCGCACATGAGGCCCGGCGATCGAGAAAGATTTTCTCTCGTCTAAGCAGAGACCCTCGAGATGCTGAGTTTCTGCCTGCTTGCGAACTTCATCTGGCGAAGGAAGCCTAGCGAATCTCTCAAAAAATCGAGAACTTTTTGCGTCGAAAACAGGGGATTTTGGTATCATTGAAGGTGTCACTAATAAGGACTCATGCTTTATGGAATCATGCTGAAGTACTTCAGCTCCGTGTAACGGCATGTCGTCTATTAAAAATACAGTGTGGATAGGGGAGTCTCGAAAAAGTAGATAGATCAGCTAAGCGCTCACTTAATTAGGGAATTGATACATCCACAGCAAAAAATTGATAAATCCACAGCAAAATGGTTATATAAGCACCCGCATTAACGTATTCGGTAAGCGAGTCGGCCATGTAAGCGAGTCGGCCACCGCCACCCGATTTCCACGACTAGGTGAGATTCAAGCACCTTTTTACCAACAAAACAATTGCATTTCTATATAAAACTAATTACTAGGCGGATTAGGACACCTAACCCTAGTATGCCCCCGAATATGACAATTAGAACACTGCGGTGGCGCGCGTACGCGTAGTCCAACTGCAGGAAGCCCTGGATCCCTAGTCACAGTATCTTGAGCTTCAAAGACCTGATTCTCCTGTAGAAATCGTTCCTGGCCCTCCTGAATAGAAAAACCCTCAGCAGCAGTAAGCTGCCTAGTAGACTTCTTCCGCTTTCGAAGCTGTTTCTCATGTACAGCTCGTAAATCGCGAATTTCTTGACGCTTAAGAACTGCCTCATTTAAAGCAATTTCATTGCTTTTAATGATTTTGTCCAATCGAACCTCTAATGAAGAGGTAGGACTTTGGGAGCCTTCCTGTACACGTCTCTGAAGCTTTCTTTTCACTATAGATACCTGCTTCTCGAGCTGCCTGGTGGTATAGGGTGTCTTAGGTACTGAATTGGTTGACCGACTGCCTGGTGGTGTTGGCGTATTCAGCTGAATATTAAGCTGGCTAAGCACCCTCTCTGGGTTATATGGAACTAGCCCAGTAGCAGAGGAACCACTGCAGATATTGCTAGTAGTATAGATCTCTGTACGCGCCTGAGGGAAAGCTTCAAGGAAGTCAAGCTTGTCGATATGATTAAACCAAGGCGCATTCTCTTCTCCACTAGGTGTCCGTATGCACGCTTTAATGGTGAAAAACAGCCAACATCCAGAGGTTGCAGTAGATGCGAAGAATGAGCAGGCATACAGATAGGAATAATACTATTCTCACTGCATATCTGGTCGAATTGAGGTGTTAGATGACTGCCATGGCCATCAAGAACTAGGAGGCGATATTTCCCAGTTGTACGGCCAGTAGTAGCAGGAATAAAGAGATTCTTAAGCCAGCGAAGGCTTAGTTCATCACTAGTCCAGCCATTTGGACTAACTTCAATCCTCCAGTCGTGTGGTAGATTGCTCTGATACCAGCCCTCTATATGGACCTTTCCTTTGAAGATAATGCATGGTGGAAGGGCCCATCCAGAGGCACTAATACACTCAATAGAAGTAACCCATTCTCGATTCCCAGGCTGTACAAGAGGCGTTCTCCCATAGTAGTCAGCTCTAGTAACTACTCGAGCAGTAGCTACTAGGTCCATAGCAAAGCCAGTCTCATCAAAGTTGTAGATATCTTCAGGTACAATCCCATGCTGCATTATGGTAATTTGTACGCGATTAAACCACTCCTTTATAACTTTAGGGTCCTCACATTGAGCACGCCGATAGTCATATCGTCGAGAGAAGCATGTCTTTAGTTCATCACGTCGTTGGATGAAGTTGTATACCCATTTCTCTCCTACTGTTTGAAGAGGTGTGGTATTTCGCGCAGTAAGAAGAATATTGGCCATTTCTTGTATATGTGACGGTCGGGGAGGTGCTCCACGTTGAATAAGCGATAGGATCCATCGTACAAGCGATTCCTCTTCATTTTGACTCATTTTATGGGAGTTGGCGCGCGATTCATTGCGAAATGTCTTTCCACGTAATCGGTCTTGAAGAGTAGAGCGAGGTATATCATAAGTACGTGCTGCTTCACGAATATTCGAAATTTCGTGCTTTTTTAAAACTCCAATAGCAAGTAAGATTCTTCCTTCTTGCTCAGTTAAATTTCTTGACTTTTGACGCGCTTTTGGAGGCATGGTTGGTGGTTGAATTGAGTGAGGTTTTCGACCAAGGCCAAAAACGCGTGACGTGGCCGACTCGCTTACCGAATACGTTAACCATTTTGCTGTGGATTTATCAATTTTTTTGCTGAGGATGTATCAATTCCCGCAAAGTATGCTATAATTACTAATGCAATCAAAAAACAGTCCCCTCAGAAAATCATCCTTGACACGATCTCCTCGTGGCTCCCTTCCTGGTCAATTGATCATTTTAGAATGTATAATTACACGCCTTGGTTGGATAACCGATCACCACCTGCGCCTTTCGCACTGCTTCCTAGAACACATTCTGTTTGTCTTTTTCGGTACTATGCTGAATACGTTTACATAAGATGCTGGTGCCTGCAAAAATCCTGCATGTCTCTTACCCCTCATCAAACAGCGGCGGACCCTAGATATCTGAGAATTCGATTCTCCTTCACTTAAAAAAATTCGAAGACTACATTGCAAAGCATTTACACCAAGTCAACGACTCAGCTATGAACTCCCTACATTCCGAACGTCTTCACTTCCGCGCCTGGGATACTTCCCGCGACAAAGAATGGTATTTCACAATGCATTCCAACTCAAAAAGTCTTCTGCAACACTTTGAAAAGCACATTCAAGCCTATGAAAAAAGAATCACTCGATCTAATTATCAACGAATTCGAGACGGCGCTGTTGTGTGTTGTCATTTGCAAAAAGCCGGCAGGAGACCAAGAAGCAGAATCCCAGAGAATCGGCCTCCTCATGATCAAAAACATCCCTCCGAGCCAGAAGCAAAATCGCTGCGCTAATCTCGGTATTGAATTGGGACTTGACGCGCAAGGTCAAGGCTATGGAAGTGAGGCTTTACATTGGGCTCTCGGGTGGGCTTTTAAGATGGCAAATCTACACAGGATTCAGTTGGAATTGGATGGGTGGAATGCAATTGCCTTGAAGTCATATCAGAGGGTTGGGTTTCGTGAGGAGGGTCGTTTGAGGAAGGCTGTTTGGAGGGATGGGCAATGGTGGGATGTAATTTTGATGGGAGTTTTGCAAGAGGAGTGGTCAGAACACTCATAAATGCGATTGCATATGAATCAACGCAAGCAATACATTATCACTTGATTCAGCGTCTATCCTCTTCTACCCGGCCGTGGCACATATTCGTTCTATAGTTAGGGTAGTCTTCTAGGCGCCTGTTTGTCCATAGCGAATGCCTAGTATGTTCGGGATTCGTACTCATACCACTTTGACAAATTTATCAACGCATTGTATGTCCGGTGGAGGATGGTGTAAGGCATCAGTGCCACGATCGCGGGAGCTATGGAAAGCTTTCAGTTAGGTATGAACAACTGAGAGAAAACGCGTATGCTATAAAATTAAAATTCATGGAACTAATGGAGATTAGTCACTGCTCCATTAGGCAGCCTTACATCCATAGCATTTATCTCGAGGTTCCAGACTACGTCTATCCTTTTGAGATCCATACTCGTTACAGCCTATATGCCTGCAATCCACCAATCTGACCGTCTTTGAAATAGAAGTAATCCACGATTTTCACTGCGCGGTGAGCAATTCCCCATTCTCTCGTGGACACTTACCGCTTCCTCTACAGCCTCTAATAAGCTATCAAAACAAAACCAGTGGTGCTACATCGGCAAACGAAACGTCGAAAAAGCGATTTCACTCCACCAAAATGTCACACCAGGAGGCCACTCCGACATCTTTTCAATCAAATGGCGCACATACTACCTTGACTACAACCCACACGGGCACAGCGTCCTTAAAAGCGAATTGGTCCGCGAGAAGCTAGCTGGAATGACATCCGAGCAGCGCGAGGAATTATCCGCTAACATGAAAAGTATCGGACGCACTTTCGGTATCAGTTTCATGCATGGGGATAACATGGGCGATACGCGCAATGCTCATCGTCTTGTTTATCTTGCGCAGGGCCAGGCATCGGGGCCTGGGGGTATTACTTCTGAAATAGTGGTGGAAAAGATCTTTGAGGCTTATCATGAGCGGGGATTGGATATTTCTGACAACGGTGTGCTGCAAATGGTGGCTGTTGAAGTTGTCTTTGATCGGATCCAGGTGGGAGGGTGGCCTGGGAGTAGTCTTGGGGCTGATGAGGTTGATGAGGAAGCAAAGGTGATTAAGTCGGAGTTGAAGTCGGGTGTTCCTGTATTTAGTATTCAGTTGAGGTTCCGGGTGGATGGCTTGGGGATCCTTCCGAGTTTCCGGACATATTTGCATCAGTGAAAGCCGCTGAATCGGTGGATGTAGAAGCATAAGAGTCCCAAGGCAGACACTTTATCTTGGAAGCCATTTATAACTCCTATTATCCCGCAATAAAGGCAACAGCAATCTGCATAATTCATATACCCAGCCAGGCCCAGAAGTCATCCTGAGTAGGGGGTATGCAGCCAAGAATCTAGATCATTCGTGCGGCTTATTCGAACCCCGACCATATGACAAAGGGAACTGATACAGCCACACCCCTTCTGCCTCAGAACACACCCCCTCCCTGACCTTTCAGGTGTCTGCTAGTTCTTCGGCTTGGGTGTACTGGCTATGCGAGTCGCAAAATGGACTTTCTGCTATAGGGCGAGAATTATGCCCGCTCTCATTCATTTTGCATAGCACATCGCTATCTAGAATAGCTATCCAGACAGCTGATCACGTAGGTGACTGAGCAACGAACCTGGTGGTTATCAAGTCCATACTCGAGGGGGTATACGGCGTCGAAATTGGCACCATGTTTGATAAGGTTCTTGTGCTGTATTACCTGAGCGAAGCCATGACGGGGGTGTGGTCTGAGACAAAGGGGGCGTGGAAGCATCATTCTCCATGACAAAAGCTAAGACCGGGATAATTATCAGATGGAAAATAAGCAATTCAAATCAAAGATAATATGGACAGGGATATTCAAGATCAAGAGAAGAGATTACCTGGTCGCCAAGTACTGGTTATCAAAAACGCAGACGAGCAGTGATGTATATACAGAGCGGACACGCAACAGCCCATGCTTGAAGCCTTACATGAAGTCCAAGTCCAGAAAAGAGAACATAACAGGAAAGTAACAACGCTTTGACAAATACAGGAAATCTTTGAAGCTGTCGCAAACCAAGCACCTGCCCATGTCTACCCCTAGCATCACTAGGGACGCCTGGAAGGTATATGCGCAGAGAATCCTGACATGTGATTTGAGGCATCGGCCGCGAATAGCTTCACATGCAAGAGCCACCCGAAACGAGACTGTCTATTTACCGAGAACTGAAGCCCGTATTTTGGAAATGCGAAACAAGCCCGTTCGCTAAAAGAGCCGCCAATTCGGAGCGATGGTCGCTGCCGGTCTATACAAGGTGGGATGAAGGGGGAGGGGGAAAAATATAAGGAATCGGGGATGTTGAAGGATAGGCGTGATTTCTTTCTAGGTTATCTTACCACCTGATGTATTATCATACCGTCCCGATGTTTTCGTTGGCCATGGCCAGCTTCAATTCGCCCTCGTGCTGGACGTTGTGGATCAACTTGCGCAGGTACTCGTATGTAAGCATGGTCGTCATGGCTGCCGGGACGGCCCGGAACAGGTTGGTGCCGATCCCGGAATAGAATGCGCGCCAGCCCTCTTCTTGGAGGATGGTCTGGCATGTGCGAACGATTCCATTGTAACGGGGACGGTTGAGCATCCCATCTGATGAAGAGGAAATAGGACGGCCGCGGTCATGCGGGTGGTGCAGGCCACCGCGGAAAGCGATTCCCTCGGGTGACGGCGCCGGTGCTGTGCGTTGCTGTGTTTGCAGACGAGTCCGAAGCACCTCGTGAGGGTATGTGACTGTGCTTGCGCAAATCTTGCTGAGGAAAGTGGCAACGGAAATACCGATCCAATGGGAATTTCCATTGTCAGGATGCTCTCCAATACCGTATCCGGTGAGTGCCATTTTCAGGTACTCGTAGAGAGGAAACTGAATGGCGACATGGGTGAGTCCCAGGAGAGCCGGTGTGAGACCGGAGTAGAATGAACGTATTCCTTCAATCTTGTACATCTTCCGAGCGGCATCCCAAGTGCTAGAGTACTGCCACGGAGCCCGTACTCCCTCGCTGTTCTGTTTGAGGCTCTGCGACATGAGTCTTGTCTTGATGACCCAAATCGGATTTGTCGCAATGGTCGAGCATGCACCTGCGCTGATAGATGCGTATCCACGGGAGAGCCACCAGCTATCTATAACAAGATTAGCAAGTCGTAGCATGAAGTCACAACATAAAGAAAAGAAAAAATTACCTGTTTGCTCATAAAAGTATTCGCGGGATCGGTCATAAACTGCCAAGTAGACGGCCCATGTGGGCAGGTAGCCCAGCAGCATCGGACCCAGTCCCTGGTATAGACCACGCAACCCGTCTTCTCGAAAGATCATCTTTCCGGTTCCCAGCATCCCTCGGTACAACGCCTTCGTCTCAACGGCCTGTCCTCCCCGTCGGGCAAAGCCGCCTTGGGCTTGCAGCTTCGTCTTGATGACATCCAGGGGACAGGTCACGATTCCCGAAGCCACGCCTGCGCTAGCTCCGCAGAAGGGTGCAATGTAGAAGTTGGGAACCCGCGTAGACCAAATTTCCATGCGGGTGGTGAAGTCGGAGCTTGACGTCGCACCGGCGACGGGCACGTGGGGGGCGGACGAGGCGGCATTTTGTGAGTCCAAGCTCGATGGCGGTCCAAAAGAGCTGCTGGCAGCTTCGGTGCTGCCTCTGCCGTCGGAGCGCATTGTTGTGTGTGTGTTGGCAGGCGCTCACGCTTGTCTGTCCGTCTTGATCACCGAGGAACCCGGGACCCGAGCATATCGGGTGCGCGATCCGGAGAAGCGCCGCGGTGTCAAATCGTGTAGAAAAAGGAGCGGATTGAGGAGGTTTTTCACAGTCGGAGCTGGAGTGTTGGAGGAAAATGCGAGGAAACCACGGGGGTTCGAGCGAGGAGAGTTTTATGGAGCCGATGGTTACCGAACCGGTGTGGTTGAATGCGATGTACCCTGTGCAGCACGGACGGTGTGGGGGAGGGTCGTCCTGTCAAAGCGAGCTCCCCGCGGAAGGGATTTTGAATGCACCTCAAGAAATAGAAGTCCCCATGATCCAAAGAACCACGAGATGCAAAAAGTGCGAGAGCGAGGAAACTGGCGATTCTGAGCTGGGGAATTGGGTGGTGCGAGGTGGAGTCACCGATTGGCATTCCTCCCCGCGGCCTCAGGCAGGGGTCGGGTAGTCACGTGAACCGCATTGAGTGCCTGAGGCGTAAAGTTGCCGCATCGAGCCTAGTTCCGCAAGCTCCGTTTTGCACAACCTCGCAACATCGGGTCATCTCGTGTTCAGTCGGACCGCCCTTTCCTTCTCCATCCCACGTCAATTGGATACCCCGGATCCAAAATGTCTGCTCCTTCGATCACCAACTACATCGTCAAGCGCCCGTGGCTCAAGCGCTGGATGACCCCTCTGGCCAACTGGTACACCGACGCTGCCGGCTACCGGAGACTCGGACTGAAGTAATTATCGCCCCCCTCCGCCGTCAATTCCTGTCCACCGCGAAAACTCGAAGGGCAATTGGACCACTGTGGCGCGTGCGACTACAGAGACAATCCTTACCAATCGTCGCCACGAACCCGTGTGGTCGCAGTCGCAGTCGCAATGGCCCCGTTCCAGGAGTTCCGATAATCCGCGGCAGACACTTTTTTTGTCACGACGAATGCTAACCCATGCCCCTTTAGGTTCGACGACCTGATCCCCGAGGAGAGCGAGACCGTCCAGAAGGCCATCAAGCGTCTCCCCGCCAAGGAAGCCTACGACCGTGTCTTCCGTATCCGCCGTGCTTTCCAGGTTCGCCCGACCCCCTTCCCCGGCCAGCAACCAACTTGAACAATGGGCTAACGAGAACCTCTTAATCGCAGTGCTCCATCTCCCACACTCTTCTTCCCGCCAACGAGCAGATCAAGCCCGAGGAGGTATGTTATCTTCGCTTTCGTCTTCATCCAAATTTCGCCCTCCCCCGCATCCATCCCCATATTGGCCAATCCTGTTGCGAGGATTTGTCACATATGACCCCGGACCCTGAGCACCTTTACCACCCCCTACCCAACACAATGCTAATATTCTGTGTCAATTAGGACAAGGAGTACCTCAGTCCGATCATCCGTGAGATCGAGAAGGAGAACAAGGAGCGCGCTGAGCTCGACAACCTCGTCGTGCGCAAGTAAACGTTTCCGGATGGACCTCCTCCCCTGTTGCGATTGAATGAAAAGCCACTAAGATGAGTGCGCGATGGGGTTTTGTTGTTGCATGAATAGATGGTTTATTTTTGGCGATGGATTTTAACCAGCCGTTTGGGATGCTTAATCCGCTATCTGTACTGATACTGTACAAATCAATTTTCTTGTTCTGCCTTGATACGAAGGATCTTTCTCGACGACTACGAAGGTGAGTATTGTAAACATCTTGATCGCCATGCTGCTGCACTTAACCAGGTGCAACCTTTACAACAGGCTCGTGTCATCATCGCCTTCGCTCTATCCCTGCCCTCAGGTACAATCGGAGGTAATGTCACAATGAAAATAGGGACTCTGGATCATCGAATTTAAGGACTTGTGTCGCTTCCCGCTTTACATAGGCTCGGAATACAATTGCTCTATACATCCATTCTCTCGAAACTCGAGCATAGCTCAGACAATGTGATGTCAGATACACCACTATGTCTTCTCTCATCCCGTAAGAACAGCCACATCAACATTCTCAATCCGCCACATATACCACATAAAAAGACTCCTGTCAAAATCGATTTTAGTTCCAAGATCTCGTCCCCATTTGTTGCCGGGTGAAGTAGACATACCTGTACGGCGCGAATTTCGCAGCCAACTCTAACATATCTTGCTCGGCCATATATTTGAACTTACCACCGCCCTTTGCCTTGAGCTTATTTACATCTTTCCCGAGGAAAGCCGCACATCCTCGTCTGTGATCAGTCAGCTATTGTCTCGACATATACCCGCACTCGATAGCTCGCAGCAATCAAGAACAACTCCAAATGGAGGACATATAGAGCTCCCGCCTCAACAAAATAGGGGCAATAAAACTTCATATAAAAGGGGACGAAACTTACTGCACCCCCCAAATCTCCTGTCGAAAAAACATCAATTCTCTTCAACGCAAAAACAGCAAACATCTCAACAGACCACTTCCCCAACCCCCTAACAGCCGTAAGCCTCTCAACAAGCTCCTCATCAGACGCCGTCGCCAGAATCCTCGCACTCAGCTCCCCCTCCGCAAACTTCTTCGCCAACCCCTGGATATACTCCGCCTTGCGCTGACTCAATCCCGCCGTCCGGAGCGTCGCAATCTCACACCTAGCAACAGTCTCCGGCGTCGGGAACCGCGAATGCGCAATCCCCTCAGGATCAGTCAGATTGAACAATGCAAGGAATTTATTCCTGATGGACTTTGCCGCGGCGCCGGAGACCTGTTGCCCGATTATACTGCTTGTCAGGCTGTTGAAGGGGTCGATTTGCTCTGCCAGTCCAGTGGGTGAGAAGAGCGGGCAAGGGTGAGCTTCGATGACGGGTCTGAGGCGCGGGTCTGTTGCGATTAGGTGGGCGAGGCCCTGCTCGAGGAGGGTTCCTGTTGTTGCGATGGGGCGGGGGAGGCCGGTTTTCGAGGGCGAGGCTTCGGAGGCGGTTGGGTAGGCGTTTATTGAGGAGCCGTGGGGTGTTAGGAGGGTTGCGTTTGTTCGGTGCGGATCGACGGGTCGGTCTAGTGGGGGTGGTGTAAGGTGTCTGTTGTTAGTTACTTGGTTTTTCTGGGTTGGTGCTGTTGCCGGTGCTGGATCCCAGTAGGAGCTTGTTGAAGCCGTTGTTGCGATGGCTGGCGTCTTTGGTGTGGCCTTTTTCGTTGCGGGTGTCTTGCGGGGCTTGGTGATGCCGCTGTGTTGGACTTTGGTCCTCTTCGTTGCTGGAATCTGCTCTGGCTGCAGGATTGGGATGGCACCCAGTCGGGCTGAGCGTCTGAGGGACATGTTGCGCCAGAGAAGAGTGTGGACGATGGAGGTAGGGATTTGTAATGGACTTGAAGAGGTAAGCGGTGCAAATCTGAGGTTGCTTGACAGTGGAGGTTGCGGTCGAGGGAGATGCTGCCCCCAGATTCCCGATCGACGCATGCCAAGCGTCTCGCAGCTCCAGCGCCCCGTTGGTTCTTCAACTCGCACGGTTCAAATGTATTGTAATGCAGATCGGCTGGGGATCAGCTTTCTTATTATTCTTTATGTGTGCTTATCTGAGAGTCTTCTTTATTCAACTCCATCTCCACTTTCACCCTTATTGATTCATCCTAGCAATTCATCCCCAAGTGTTGAATACCCCGCTTCCTGATGAGATGATAGGAATATATATCCAACATTGCGTGAAGTAATAATCCAAAGTCAAGAAATCATTAGTCATTTCATATAAGTAATATTGACATGCACCATGCAACGAAAGAACTGATAATAACCCTTTCATGCCCCAAGAGACCGTGACCGTGATTTGACGACCATATGATGGCGCGGACCCAACTGGCCAGTTCCCACAGTGATTGAACACCTGCGCGCTGATATCAAGAGCCCCCAAACTCTTGGAGTTGTATTGACCAAATAAGAAAAGCAATTGAACATTCAAAAGGACTGCCAAGTTCGATTGCCCCAGCCACAATGCACCTTCCACGCTGGACATTAATTGCGCAAAAACATGCAACTGGTCCCTCTGGTAGACATCCCTCCAACCAATCAAGACGTACGCCATCAACCAGCACCCCCATCTATTAATAGCCCGCGCAATCGCGACAGCCAAGAGCGAAATGTTCGGCTAACAGTCTTCCAGCTGCACATCGGGTTTTCACGCCGACAGCAAAACCAATGGGTGGTATGACCGTACAGCGCGCCCATGGATAGATCAATACAGTTGTATGCCATACACACGCACGATTGGATCGAATCTACTCCGCTCGTCGATAACCCAAGGTTCATCTTCCGCGTCCCAACGAGTGTACGAGTGCAAGGCTTCGATTTAAGCTGATCCACGGATAGCCCGCAGGGCCCGATCCCAACGGTCCTTTCGCTCACCAGCCCAGTGGGCCGGACGATTCAAGGAACCGACACCACCATTTTTGCTAGGTAGGGTATTGGCGCAGCAAAAGGACGCGAAACACTTAGCGCGGTATCTCGACAAGCCAATGTCGGCCCCAGTACGGGAGGCTTGCGTCAGCAGTCTAGACAGCGCTGCTAGTGTTTTCTCCAGGTTGTTGACCTTTACTTACTGGAAAAGCGACAGGGAAGAAAAAGCCACCAGTGGAGATCGCTGATCGACCACGCTGTGTAATTCGGATCCGCCAGTCACAGCATCGGATCTTAGTTCTGACCGGGGGAAGAAAGTGTCAGACCAGACTTGATAGCGTGGGCCAGTCTCAAACACAATGGATTCCCAGCCCGACCGATGGCGTCGCGAAGTCCACGACGAAAAGCTTCGCTTGACGACAACCAGCAGTTGCCCGTCTAACCCGAACCGGCCTACCATCATCTCTACAGAGTCTACAAAGTTCGAGTCCAGATGACCTCGCCTGGAGAATGTATCCCAGCCTCCCCCTATTTACGTTCACGATCACAACTCCTTGTTCGCCCCAGGCCCACGTTCCCACACATTCCAGAACCCCAAAAAAGAAGCATCAGGCAGACAGCCCGGCTGTGGAATGTGAGTCAAATGCCATGGAGCCGAGCTGCCGAGTTGGCAGTATGTATTATGGGTTGGTTGAAACAGAACGAACGAGTGTATGCACGGACGAGTCTGGACTTTCCTAGTCCTGAGCGTAACTAGCTTCCTTAGGACTCGCTTAAGTACATGTAGGATAGTCGTGGCGTGCAAAAGGACGGGCAGAAAGTACGAGTCGACGGGAAATATCTCGCCCGGCAGGCGAAGACCCTCAATAAGTATCTGCGTCGTCCAGTTCATACCCTACCCTCCAGTGTATGCGAGAATAATGGGCATAAGTGGTAAGCGATGGTCTGGTGGAGTCGGTGGAGAGACGAGAGCGCCCCGAGGCCTGGCGGAGCAAGTCAACAGCCTGCGATCTGAAACAAAATTTCGCGAACGGGCGAACCGTACATTAATGTATTAATGTATTTTTGGAATGGCGCGATGTGACCAAAACAAGCGAGAGCAGTTGCCTGCGTCTTTGCGAGACCACTGTGATTGTTATCGTCAACAAAGTAATCAAATAATCATCTCTGTAAAGTTAGGAAGGCTATCTCTTGGGAGTTAGTAGTTTTGTGTACAGCTGGTACGTAGAAAGTTCCCGGGAAACCTGCTGGATAGGTATTGTCAGAATGTCGATCTGAAGCTCTAGCCGGGCGATCGCCGCAATTATTCAGAGTGACAGGCGAGCTGCAGCGACTCGGGGGTCAGAATAATATTAATATTCGCAAGGACGAGCACAGGCCTGTCGCAAATTTGGATGGGACCCTGACACGCGAACCAAAATAAACACAGCTTATTATTGCCAGACACAAGTGAAACAATCCCGGTCGGCGAATAAAAACAGTACCTGAGGACGTAGCTACCCTAGGGTAGTAGTGGAGGTAGACGAACAATAATTGTGAAAAAGCAGACTTCGGGGAGCGATCGCATTTGCCACTCGAAAGGCTACTTTTGCGTCGAGCCAGCTCCGCTATATGTAAGTCTCCAGTAGTGCAAGTGTTGCTCAGGGGATTTCCGCCGGGTGAGTTCTCCCGTCGCGTCTGATGGGCTGGGTAGATGCGAGAGGGCGTGTCAGATAAAGATGGACAGCGTACAGCCTAGTACCTACCAGCTTGCTGGTCGATACATGTGCAGTGAACTAGCAAGTAGATCGCCGTACGCAGCTCCGTACGTTGGCGGAATAAGGATTGACATTAATCCAGGGCGAATGATGCGTGCGTGCCAATCACAGGGCTCGCATGCCGCGTCCGTCGACGATAGCGGCGAGGGGGCAGCGGGCCCGCCAAAGGCTTGAATTCCTGCAAATTTAGATCGCTCCGGCTGCCCGCAAGGCCAGATCAATTTCGCTGTTTTGGGAGTGCCTGAAGTGAGGTGGAGTACGTCTATCTCTGCAGGATTGTGCATGCCCTCAGGTACATTGTACAAAGGAATTTGGTTATGGCAGCAGTGCTGATCAGGGGCCATCGTTGAGCTTGGGTGCATGTATGACGACAGCTATACAGGCGATAGATACGGATGGGGCCAATGGAGTTGACTGGTCGATTACTAGATGTAAATAAATGGGTACACTCACGCTGGTATAGTTGTCGCGAGAATTCTTGGAAGGAGAGCCCAATTGAAGGGCTGGATAGAATTGAAGCAGGTCGCTGAATATTATATAGTCTTTAGGTCCAAGTGCGACCGCAAGTAGCACAATTGGGACACAAAGGCATTCAAACGGGCAAGTGGCCAGCGATGTTGTACAACACTGCGGTGGCAATCGCAGATTGTGTATTATGTATGATACGGTAAATAACAACGTGAACTTTTATTTGCACACCCTAGACCTCTGCTCCCGTATTCGCAACTCTCTTATGCGTAATGATATCCTATACTTTACACTTGATTTCAATGTCTATATAATATCAAATCAACTGTATACGCTGCCAGTGTATACTCCCACCCCGATTCGTTCCAGACACGTGAGATAGAATGCTCCACTCGGAGCCAGGGGGGCCGCACGGGCGACTTGGACGGAAACGGGGCCCAGCGAGAATAAACAGGATTCCCCGTCTGCGCCGCCGGATTCGGTACTGTGTTGGTATCGTATTTATAACCGGTACGGAGCCACTCCATCCACTAAAGGAAATCTCCACCGGCCTCCTTTCCTGCCAACTTCTTATTCCTTCCTCTTCTTCCCCCCATCCCCGTCCATTCGTTCTTTCCTCCTGGGTCACTTGCGCTTCGCTACTCTCCGAGTCGCGATCTTCTCTACACTCGTTCGAACCACATCCTCCTTTAATTCTCTATCATCAGTACGTTTGCCCTACCTCCCCCTGGATTTCGTCGAGCCGCGCGCCCGGCCCAACACTCCATCCGCGAGCCAAGAATCCGAGCCAATTCTAACCATCCCGCCAGAGTACATCGCAATGTCTTTCGTCAAGTACCTGCTGCCCGCGCTGGCGGCTTCCCAGATGGCTTTCGCCTCCGACGACTGTGAGTACACCCCCTACCCTCAGATCCAAGTCAACATCCGCACCTCAAAAATATGAATGGACGATCAAGCAGAAGTGACCCGGGAACAACAACTAATAAATTCCACAGGCGGTAGCACCAAGATTGCCTCCCAGAGCGATGCCGACAGCCTCAGCAGCTGCTCCACCATCGACGGTGATATCACCGTCTCCTCCGAGTACTCCGGTACCCTGACCCTGTCTGGTGTCAAGAAGATCGACGGTGACCTGTTCATCAACCGCACCGCCGACCTGACCTCCTTCACTGCCGAGTCGCTCTCCTCCATCACCGGTACCTTCAAGATGGTCGAGCTGACCACCCTCTCCAACCTGGCTCTGTCCGAGCTGTCCTCCGTCGGCTCCTTGGACTGGAAGGTCCTGCCCGCTCTGGAGTCCCTGAACTTCGACTCCGGTGTCACCTCCGCTGGTGATGTCTACATCTACGACACCAAGCTCCGCTCCCTGGACGGTATCACCCTGGAGACCGTCGGTGCGTTCGACATTGAGAACAACCGTTACCTCAAGACCGTCAACGTCAACAACCTGAAGAACGCCACCGGCGACATCACCTTCGCTTCCAACTACGACGAGCTGGAGATCATGCTCCCCAACCTCGGCACTGGCAAGAACCTGACCTGCCGTAACGTCAGCAACATCTCCATCCCCTCCCTGGAGAAGCTGTCTGGCTCCCTCGGTATCTACGCCACTGACTTCGAGCGGTTCTCCGCCCCCAACCTGACCAGCACTGGTGACCTGGTGTTCATGAACAACGCCAAGCTGAACGACATCTCCATGCCCGC